CACACACACACACACACACACACACACACACACACACACACACACACGAAGTGTGGGATGCCTGGAGGAGAGCGGTGGAGACAGCAGAGGTGTAAAAGCTTTTCTTCTCTTTGTTCAGGCATCAGAGGTAGGACAGAATGAAAATAAAGGAACATAAAAATCGATTTAGAATTAATAAGTCAGGGTTCATTATTTTGTAGAACAATTGTAAAAATGATTTCATGAAATCAGCTTTTCTTTGTCCCAAAAGAAGAAAACATTTCGGAGAGCAACGGATTAATTAAACATTGTACACTTTGATCCTGGAGATGTTTGTTGCTGCTTCGATTTGCAACTGCGCACGCACACACACACACACACACACACACACACACACACACACACACACACACACTTGCATTTGCGAGGACATTCTAATGACCTGTATGCTAACCACAACCTAATTCAATCTCATATCTTAACCAACAACTCAAACATCAGTGTAGCTTCAGCTAGACGCCCTTTATACACTTTACATTTGTTGCATTCCTTCTCCCAATGTTACAACGTATATCTGCATTGTCGCTGGTAAATAATCAGCAAATAAATCAATAAAGGACTTTGTCCTTGCAAACATAAAGCAAAACAACAAATTAAAAAGTCAAAAACAAAGACCAACCTGATTACAAGTCATCGAGCCTCGCTCTGAGGCCACAGGGGACGTCATGGCTCTGATTTCACACTGATCCTTACAGAGTCACGTCTCCTTCACTTCAAACTCTCCTGCTTGAAATATAATTGAGTCCTAAATGCACACTCGCATGCAACCATGAATTGTAAACAGACATAATGGGCCAAAGCACAGCTACATATGGAGTAGAAGGACCCTGAGGAAGTCGGAGCTGAATACATTACGGAAAATGGAAAACATTTGGAATGTTTACATTTACAACTCTGGAATGTTTTTACCGATGATGCGGTTTGTGGCAATATCACTAAATGAACAGTGGGCTATTTATGTGGAAAGAGAAAATGATCCTCATCCACACTTTTTTACAACATGAAGAGGAGCTCATCTGACATAAAACAACCTGGGCAACTTGTGGCCCCGTACAGCCCTGGTTATGAAATTGAAGATGGGTGAGGGGGAAAGAAAAAGCAAGACGAGACGAGACAAATACAACTTGTTCCAATTTGAGTGAAGTAACTGTGCGGACCGTTTTAGGCAGACATTCCCCATCACTTCCACTTCACCATTCTGCAGCGGAAGCGCGTTAAAGGAGTGGGTGGTGATCACAGCGGAGAGGTCGAGGGCGGGTTAGAAGATGCATAAGTAAAAAAGACAGGAGGAGAGGAAGGACGGAGTGGTGAGGCAGAGGAGAAGAAACGGGACAGGAGGAGGGCAGGAGAGAGAAGGGGAGCAAAGACTGAAGGAACGGACAGAAGTCGTAGAAGAAGAAAAAAAGGGAAAAGAGCAAAAGGGAGAGATGATGGAGTGGAAGACGGGGAACTGAAAAGAGAACGGAAGCAAACGGATGAGGACAGTGAGTCATCAGTCCTCAGCCAAGAGGTTTCTCCTTGAATTAAACATGAACTCAAAAATAAAGAAAGTCTGACTTTGTGATGTTGATGGCATGAACCTGCGTCACATGCGGTTTGACAACTGTTTTTCAGTTTACAACCACAACAACACTGTAACACAGATGAAGGTGATAAAAATAGCAGCAGAGACAGTGTATGTGGCCGACACTGGTACTGAGCGTCTGGTTGGACATTTCTTGTACTGATGAATCGTCTCTTGTTGATAGTATTGGGATTGCTGATATTGTGTTTCGGGGTGGTTGCGGGTTTCCATTGGTGTTTTATTGTATCTGGTTTTTACAAAGTGTTAGGTTTTTGATCTTTTAACTCTGTAACCTGCGCAGCACTTGTGGCCTCTTCACAGGGACCACAGATTAAAATGAGCTTTTAGTCACATCTGGTACAAGATGTGTAGTGTCCAGATCAAGTAAACAATAATATATAAAAGTAAATAAGTGTCTACAAAACAAATGCAAGTAGTCAGACCTAGGATTTAAAGAACTCAAAGTGACACCTGCAAACCAGGATTAAAGAAGCCGTGACCACATTTGTGCACAGCCACAACTCTAGGTTCAGTATTTTAGAGCTTTTTTTCATCATCTTGGTCTATTTTGTTCCGGTGGTCTTCCTCAATCACAGAGAGTGAACCAAGATTTGATACAAGCTCTTACTTCGAGAACTACAAAACATTCTTTGGACAGGTGTCTCTTCTGTTATTCTTTCATAACAGAAGTCACTGCAGGTCAGTGGGACCGACTCAATGTACAGAAAATGAAAACCGTTCCGTGGTGCTTGTGCCCTCGCTCTCACATTGTTCCTTAACAAGCTGTGTAAATGCTCCTCAGTGAAGAACAATGACATTTGTGTTGTCTGCGCCTCAAGCAGCACCACGCAAGTTGCTCGCAAAAAATGTGGCCATTTATCCGGCAGAGCCTTGAGTTGACATCTGCCGTTTGGACTGTAGATGCTGCATTAGTGCGTACAGTAACAGAAGGCACACAACTACAGGTGCGTGCTGCTACAGAGACAGCTGTGTGCAGTCATGTAACGCAGCTGCACATCGACTATGGAGAGACAGATGAGTGCTGCGAGGGGAGGACCAACTGTATGTAGACATTAATTTAGATTGCATTGTAGGTTTAATGTTCACTGATAATACTTGAAGTTCAGAAGTTGTCCACTACGGTCTTTATTATAGTTCCACTACATTGTTTAGGAATGCTGCAGAGTAACTTACAGGACTGTAACATATATATGTGGCAGTCGAGAGTATGATGAACCCAGAGAGGGGGGTGTTGGGTGTGTGTGTGTACTGTCTCGAATGTGCATGTTCTGTTTAACAAGCATAACAACCTGCAGTTAAATTGTGATAATGTGATATGCTGTCAACCTGCAAACCAAAGAGTGTATCAGGGGAACATACGGGCACAACCTGGGCAGATGTGGCGTGATGGCAGTCCAGAAGAACAGTAACGCCGCCTAGTGGCAGCTGGAAGTCACTGCACCTCCAGACCAAAATCTGAAAAGATGGAGTCACCCAAAGCAGCGATCTGCAGTCAGTGTCGTTTTTAATATTACCACCACTTCAACTCTAACACAGAGGAATGCAGCACAACCATAACCCAACGTATTTCTCTAGCTCATAATATGCAGCTTTGAAAAAAAACACAAAAGAAAAAAAAATACAAAATGCTAAGTTTAAAAAGTTCATATCAAGCATTTTATTTGGTATACAGATATTCATAGATTTATACAGTATATATAGATATATGTATATATGCAACACATGTGCCACCGCAAATTCACAGACAAACTTATCTTTACTAAGAAAAGAAAAAGGAAAAGAAAAATATATAATGTGCTTAATTTCAAAGTAGTGCCGTGAAGCGTTTGTAATGAAGGATGATCAAAACCGGAATGATGAGGTAACTGCCAGGCAGGAAAACAATCACTTATAATGGTTGAGTAATAATAATAACAATAATAATAATAATCTACTGAAACAAATGGATCAAATAGGCAACCGAGAAATATAGTGGCAGCATGGACCCTTAGTGTCAAACTAGAGAAAAGGATTTAAGTCTAGAACATACATACACACAGAGTATGCAGACAGACAGACAGTGCATAAACGTACAAACAGGAAGTAAAGTCAGTCACTCATGAGAGCAAAAGTGCTCCCATGTCGTTACCCTTGTCTGATACACAACAGAAACTCAGGCATGCTCCAGGACATCTAAAAATATCTCTCTCACACACAGTCATGTACCACAGCCCGGCATTACAGGGCTGACCAAACAACGCTTGCACAGTTGTGGTGCATGCACGTGTACACACACACACACACACACACACACACACACACACACACACACACACCAGCAGAATCGTGGTCAGGCAGGGTGAGATTCACTAAAAAGATGTGAGCGCTTGCATTCATGTGAACAGAGAGTAAAATAACTGCTGAAGAGGGAATCTGATCAGAGCAAAAAGAAGGGAGATGTGATAAAAATTGAAAGGATAACAAACGAGCAGAAGGTGCTGCACAAAAACACAAGGAAGTGGGGTATGTGTGTGTGTGTGTGTGTGTGTGTGTGTGTGTGTGTAAGCACGTACATGTGGGTCAATATATCAGGAGCAGGGAGTGCCGAGCGTGTTTGACAGACATTTAGGAGCATCTGGCTCCATCATGTGGTCACTCTGAGTCTCTCTGGACCTCGGAGGCGTCAGCCCGACAAATGGGACACGTCCTGTTGGCCTGATGACGGAGAGAGGAAACAAAATGGATCCAGTTAGATTATAACTTCAGTCCTGTTGATCACACAACATGCCCATTCCTAAAACTGCACATTTGCACAGTAACTAAACTCACCACTACTACTACTACTCCACCATTTTCTTCACATTTGTAATCCAATTCACACCGAGGCTTTGGGCAAATGACACCATGCCTCTAAATCATAAGACTACGTTATGATTCACACAAGAACTTAGTGTTCCAGAGCATTTCTTATGTGTTCAGCTTCTTCTTCAGATGTTCCTGTCCTGGGGTTTTAGTGTGGTTTAACTCTTCTGTGCTGAATGAACATGTAGACACAAGCCTGGTGTTTGTTTCCGTGATTCTCGCTCCCCTTCTGTAATTAAGAGGGTATGGGTGTTTTTGTGTGGGGGGGGGGGGGGGGGTACTTACCCTTAGCCACTTGTCGACACACTTCCCGTGGAACTCGTGGCTGCAGGGCAGGACTCGCAGCAGTTGGCGGGATTCAAAATCACTCATACACACCACACACCTGCAACACAGCGGGTACGGGCACGTGAAGTACGGCAACACAAGAAATCTGTTCATCACACTTTGTACATGACACACTGGGCGTGAAAGCAGATTGGTTATCGAGTTAGACCACAAGACACTGTTGTTGTTTTTCTCACAATGCCCAACCCAAACAGACAGAGATGACATTTAACTGTTTTCCAATAGGCTTTTAAGTAGATTTCACAAAATCACATATATCCAATGTAGTCAATGTAAAACTTCATGGAAAATTCCCCCAATCAACAAGCGGTGACCTGGAGTAACAGGGCAGCACTCACAGTGTTTGTTCAGACTGATGGTTATTTGGATTGAACCGATAGGAAGGAAGCTGTTCGATGTCTCCCTTGGTCAGTCCTCGGAGTTTTGCCTCTCCCAGACGTTCAGCGAGGTTCAGGAGGGCCTGTGAGGGGACAAAACAAAACAACATCAGCAACAAGTGAAGAATAAGAGTCTGCATCCAGCAGTCATACACACAAAATAATTAAAAGGCAGAGAAAGATGAACCTCATAATTTTCCACTTCTCCATCGTCTACATCCAGCTCTAGACTGATCGCAGGTCCTGTGGGCTGGACTGGCAGCATTGAACTACAGGAGGAGGATGTAAGCTCAGTTCATCAAAGAAGCAAATTAAGCAACTCAATTAAATAGTTAATGGCCAAAATAAAAAAAAATTAAAAAAAAAAAAAATCTGTATTTGCCATTTCATTCAAAATATGGAAATCATACTTTATATTTTCTGTGTATTTAGTATTTCACCATTATTTTAGTGATTTCTATGTTAAAGACTCAAGAAGACATGTTTCACCTTTATCTCACAATTCTTTTGTAGACAAACAAATGCTCGTTTATCTTGGTTCTACAGATCTAACTAATGTGTAAATTACTAAAACTTCTCTAATCTCAGAGAAGACTTCAAATGTACTTGATGAAAAAAAAAAAATCATTATTGTAGTTTCAACAAAATAAAATGATGTGACCATCCTTGGATTGTATTTGGGGGATTTCCTTTTCTGTCTGCTGTAATTTTAGTCACCTAACACAATAATCAACACCCTGCAATTGGTTGCATATTCCATAAAATAAATACAACTGTATATTTGGCCAATACAAATGAAAAATGTAACCATTCCTTTGCCCTTTTAACAGTCGCATCTTAAAATTAATGCACGTGTAAGGTGCAAGCAGCATGTCGGCACATATGTGCGTTTAATGTGGCTCTGTCCAGAAATTCATACATTTTGGGTTGAACGGTTCATACAAAGTTGTTCTGGTGAGCTTAATTCTCTACAGTGTAACTTCTGCTTCCATGCTGCCTCACCTGAATTAAACAGCTATAAGAGAACCCTCAGTGTTCTTTGGTGCTGTGCACGGTTAACGATCTTACAGCCCTGGCTGTAGTCCAGACGATGTCAAACCATCCGTTTCAAGTTGGCTTTATAATTTAATTCTATATAATATATTTACAACTTCTGCAAGGAGACACGAGTCTTTGGAGACCCGTTTTAGATTCTATTGGAGAGGACTGTGCTGAAATCATATTAAAAAAAAAAAAGGTTTTGCCGCTTTGGGATACAAGTGATTGCTAAAGGGTTAAGTCCACCTGATGTACTGATCTACTTACAGGAAGTAAGGCAGGAGGCTGGGGTGGTAAGGCGAAGGTGGCAGTGGCTGCTGTGATCGGTACCGTCGCCCCGGCAGACGCCGAGGAATAAAGTTTGGATAGGACTAAAGGAGCAATGGAGGACACGTGCATGACAAATCATTCACATGGATTTTCTGCAAAAGGAAAACAAACGTCTTTGTATTATTCTTTTTGCTCACCACTCCGAAGAACTCCTGTGGAAGGGGGTCATGGGAGAGAAAGTGGAGCTGGGCGGAGTGTGGTGTGAGGGCCGGGTGGGCGGCAGGAGGATAGTGGAGCCCAGCACCCAGAGACAGGTGCTCTCCAAGGAGCTCCACGTCGTTCTCTATCCTCTGTAGCGGCTGGTAGTAGAAAACACACACCGTTACCCTCAGAGATCGTGTCACGTGATCACGGCAACAAAAACTATTTAAACATTAAATAACAGATGGTGAGGTGGAGGAGGCATATCAACCCTTAACAAATCCTGTAAATGAGTAGGAGTTAGGACGTAATATCATACAAATATTCAACAGTCGTTCAACCTAACTTTTATACTGCTTTGTTTTTTCTACTAATGTAATTTAAAGATTCTCAGTGAGCATCCAGCTATTAAATAAGGATCTTCTTTAGCCTTTGTAACCTCTGACACACATTATTGGAACACAGTTGTAATTTTAGCCCAGAACGACTTCTTTAACTGCGATACCACAGTGTTTTTCAGTGCCTATTTCAGTACCCGTCCTGATTTATTACCAACACTGCGGTATTTCCAGATGCTCGCAAACACTCAAGGAGAGCTGCACTAATTGCTTCAACTCAAATGTATAAAACATGTATCATCCATTTTGGTTTAATTATAAAACACCTTCGCAGCTTCATTTCTTTATACAGCATGCTAAATATTTAGAGCTTTGCTCAAAGACGCTAACAGTCACACTAGTTGCCATATTTTAAATGCCATATTTTATAATATTCACAAAAGCTGCCTCCGATACTAAATCAGGTTGAGCACAACGAGAGTTTCTACTCACCGATCGGGACTGCTGCGTCGGATAGGGTCCAAATTGTCCGGGCTGTGGCAGGTGAGGTGGGTGGTGGGAAAGGTGTGCTGGGGGGTGGGGGAGGTGAGGAGGGGGGAGCAGGAAGGTGGGGTCACTGGACAGCAACGATGGGAACGGGTAGGGTATGGGTAAGTGCTGCACAGAACAAGTCTGCAGGACCTGGCAGAGAGAAAGGAAAATGGCAGCAATATTTATCAATATCAGAATCAGTAGCAGAAAATGTGCAACTGTCATGTAAACAAACCAACAGACTCACGGGAGGGACACTGCAGACGGGGTAGTGCTGTCCACTGAAGACTACCGAGCATGCTGGGATCTGCTGAGGAGTGGAGCGAGGCGGCAGGCCTGGTGGCGCTCCCGGAGGAGACACGGGATATGATACCGGAGCCGAACCCTAAACATGGAGATCAAAGGGCAAAGGTCAACGCTACCAACACAGACTGCGATTTAAAGCTGAGCTGCTGGAGTTCCAAGATGTAGTCCACATTAGTCAGGTAGCAAATAAAGCAAAACCTCATGAATCAGTGCCGACAACACACATTTATCTTTTGTGCCGAGCGGGGTTTCCCAAATACAGGCCTGTTCTGAGATGATGAGATTCATATTTCATGATTAACAGACCTATTTGGAAATATGACGGTATGATGATACCTTTGAGAGGAGGTCTTGTAGTTACAATAGTATTTTGACAAAAAGCCTTTCCATGTTGTTACTGGCATTCATTATGATTTGAACTCTTATGTGAACTTGAATTATTATTCAATCATCTCAACTCACTCTTTCACCTGCTAATAAATTACGTGAGCGACTTCACAGTTCATCTAGTAATGTAAAGCGTTTACTAGTCGTGTGCTTCACTGTATTTCTAGAGACGGCTTAAAAGTACACACTGCTCATGACAATCACTAATTAATGGTGTAACAATTTGTTAAATATTGGACACGACATATTTAAGTAAATAATGCTGCTCATGTCACCTGCTCATGGAGGTCCAGCACCACGCTGCTCTGCTGGGACGGGTGGGGGTGTGGATGTGGGTGCTGTGGATGGGCCACAGGGTGCAGCAGCCTGGGAGACAGGTTGGGTGACTGGTGGAGGGGCCTCGGTGAGGGATTTGGGGGATGGTGACCTGGGCGCTCTTCAAGCCCGGGCCCCAGCCCTCGGGGAGGTTGCTGGCTGAAGGGTGAGTAGCCCTGAGGGGGAGCCGGGTGACGGTAATTCTCGTCCTGGTGGCCTGGCGACGAGCCGTGGTGGGAGTGCAGGTGGTGCTGGTGGTGATGATGGAGGTGGGCGTTGGGGTGGTGGTGGTGGTGGTGGTTGTTGTTGTTGCTGTTGTTGTAGTGGTGGTGGTTGTTGTGGGCATGGTGGTGGTGGTGGCGGATCAGACGGTCTCTCCGGCCACGCTGGCGTCTCATTGGAGGGCTGAGGTGAAGAAGAAAAAAAAAAAATAAAAGAAAAAATAGAGGAAAGCTTAACAGATACTCCACCAATTAAAAAGGTCATAAATATGATATTCAGAGCATTAATATAGCAGCAAACAACTCTTTGCTATGTAAAGACATGGTGGTGTAATGGCTAACTCTTCTCTTGAGAATGAGACCTCGTCTCAATGAAACTACCTTTTATAAATGAAGGTTGAATAAAATGAAAAACCTGAGCAGAGGATTAAGTCACTCTCACTCGGTGTGTTATCTGAGCTTCTCCTTGCTGTATTTACATAGCCGTGCCGGCTGCTCGTGCTTGTAGTGCATGTGAGCGTTACCCACAATGCAGCCTGACCACCAACGGTTCGGCTGGAGATTTGGAAGTGTTGTGAAAATGATGTTAAGTTCTTGTTTGTTATACAAATATCTTTGTAAATTGTAATGACAATGATAGAAAACGAGAAATAACGCAGAGAAAATGACTTAATAAAGTGATTATCAGAACAGTTGCAGGATAATTGTCTTATAATTTCAGCTCTATTTCAATTATTTCACCAGTGCATTACTGGCAGTAACGAAATAAAATCCTGGCTGATCCAATTCATTCTTATATTAATTTATGGCGTAGAAATATTTAGAAAAGATTCAAAGACTATTTTGGGAGACCTTGTTTTGGTTTGTTTCATATAACTGTGATTGAACATTTTTGAATCTTTTGAATGTTTGTAAGACCAAATAAGCACTTTCCACGTATATATTTCGGGTCTTGTATTTGCGTCTCACATACACATACTTACCTGCGTCGGTTGCGAACAGGCGTGTGGCATCTCTCTGGCATGTAGTGGGGGTGTGGTCTGCGACTGGGAGGCAACTCCCAGGGGCGAATGGGAGAGGAAGGAGTGGAGGGAGGGGCGGAGTTTAGATCCAACATGGCCTGCTGGGAAAGACGCTGCCTTTTCGGGCTCGGGCTGTCTTCCATCTGCACACAGAGGTGGAGGGGAGGGGGGGGAAATGAATAAGAAACAAAAACAATGACATACAAATCCTATTCTAAGCAGAGGCAACAGGCACAGCTCATGTTTCATGCTTACCTTGTCCCGGTCGTCGCTGCAAACATTATCTGGATGAAAATGAAGCAGTCCTCCTGCAGAACACAGAGGAAGAGAAAGAGAATCAGATAAGACGGGGCTGAGAGAAAAAACATCAACATCACAAGACACATGGACATATGCTCGCTAAGCAGACAGAAGTACAACACACAGGCAGCTGGTTGCCTCTGGATGGTTCGCTTAAAACAGATCTACAGGCTTTATACGACAGAATTCAACAGTAATGACAACAAAAAAAAAAAGTGCATCCAACATCTTGCTTCACAGAGTTACTGTCCTCTGAACAGCCTTTTGAATTTCCTGCTTAAAGACAAGCAGACAAAAGAGGAAGAACGTCTCTGTGAGAGGATGAGCGCAGTGTGACATCTTCCAGACAAATCTTTCCCTCTGATCGACCACGATAAGTCAGAGCAGACTCACACAACACATCCACAACACAGCGCCCTGCTGCATTTGCTCACCTTCACCATATCCAAGTTACCATAGTGTACTATTCAAAGGTTAATTATATTTATAAAGCAAAAATACTCACCCATTACCTCGAGGTTTCAGATTTCTTATTGTGTTTTATGACTTTTTATTGATCAATTGATTATGAAAATAATGCAATAAACTGGAGCGACACTGTAGAGTAGTCCCTATGGATCACTTCACTGAACTACGGAAGCATTATGTTTTTTATGAATTAACAAATGTATTATCTCTGGAATTCTGAGAAACGTTTTCACGGAAAAAACAAGAAGCTCCGACCTGAAGGGAACCTGATTACTGCTGCTCATCAGCCTGAGGCCTCAACAGTGCTGTATGATAAAGTATGGGGTCAATATATGTATCCAAGGTTTGATTTGAATGCATTGTGCTTCCATCCTGAATAAAGAGGTGATACCATTAACATAATCTCAGAAGAACAAAATGCCCTTCCAGCTGTTTATCCGACAGGCCACATGTGCAATCTGGATGCAGCATGTGTGCACAGTCGTTTCAGCAGCTTAAGAAGGATGTCCTTGAACTCAGCTGACAAGAGTTTCCTCTAAGCAGTCCCCCCAAAAACCTTTAATCACCACAAAGAGGTGGAAAACAACCCTCTCCTCCCCTCATCTCTTTCTTCCTCATACAAACAGCGCCGTCTGTCTCCCCCCCAGAGACAACGGATCTGAGAGCGACCCCCCCACCCTCTTCTTGTCTTTGCGACGCCACTCCAGAGCCATGTGAAGGCTGCTGATAGCGACGGCTCAAAGACGCCCTGCTGGTGGCTGCGGAGAACAGAGGGACAGTCAGCAGACGGACCAGCCCACAGCAGGGCCGACACGCTGGCTTACATCTTTATTTATCCGCCATGCCTTCTTCTTCTTCTTCTTCTTCAGACCTCACATGGTCCTGGGTACGGTTGGGTAGGGTTTGGAAAAAAGATCACGATACCAGTACCCTTAAAGTGACACTGATAGCAATAGAGTACTTAATTTGATACTTTTTTACTTTATTTGATACCCATCGTGTAAATGGAAGCATTCGGTTACGTAAAATGCCACCAGCATATTTATTGTAATCAAATGGCACAGGCCTGTAGTACAGCAATACTTTGGTATCTCAGCACGATGAGGTGTAGCTGCTGCAGCAGTGAGCCAATCACACCTCGCAGTGAATTGAAGAGCGCTTGCGGTGATTGGCCGTGAGCAAAACCATATAAATAGTGAATGGTTTTCTAGATCTGGGTACAAAAGACCAAACGCTAGTATTGTTTGACTGGAGAAGTTTCGATACTACGTGGTACTGGTTTATTTCAGCCGGTGCCTTAAAGACATCGAGTACCGACACCCAGCTCTACTCCTGGGCCTCAGCCACCCTGTGTTTTTAGGAGAACTAGGTCTGTTAATGCTGATTCACCCTGAAGGCCAGAGGAGAGGGGACGGCGAGCCAGAATAGACGGGCTCTGTTGGAGAGCGGACACGACCTTGTTTCCTCCGAGCACGCCTGCTGGGGAAGACTGACACCATTTATTTTACAGCAGACCATCAAGTCAGGCAGGCAAGATAGTGGACTTCAGAGCGTCAGCTGTCATCAAGTAGCAATTTGCTCCTGTTCTTTGACAAAGACTCCAACTATTTATTGAGAAGAGACATGCCAAAAATAGAGAAACCCACAAATTGTCAGAAATACCAAATGATAATAACAGCATTAATGAAGATGTTGCTATCAAGTTGTGATACTGGCAGGTTGTGGGATGCCACACTCGCTATTAAAGCTACACGGGGAGATAACATGCTCGACACTGGGGGAGAGAAAGAGGAGAAGAAATACAGGTTGAAAAACAGAGGTAAGACAGAGGGACACATTTTTAACACCCCCAAATACAACCCTGACACATTCTTCATGAAGAGACGCCTCGAGGCGTATTACAGTGACATGAACAAAAACAAACAAGCACAAACAAACAGAAAATCTGTATTACGCACTTAAACATACACACTTTTGAGCATGTCACACACACACACACACACCATCTCAGAAGAGGCACGTGCAGCTGTTAAGAAGGAGGCAGATCACACAGCTGGGAGATGCACTGCTTAAGTCATTCACACAAATCCCTCTGTCATCTCTCAATTTGAGAAGCATGTGTTTCTGTGTGCGTCTCCTTTGAGTGGGTTATTTTGGGGTGTTTGGCAACAATGCTGCCATTACGACAGAGACCCATTACAAGCCTGCTTTCATTCATAGCACTTTTTTTTTTTGCCTTTGAGGGAATCCAATCTGGTATTACTGAAGGTTTCTCCAGCAGTGAGCAATGGGAACCTGCTGAACACTACACAGACTGGTTATCAATGTCGAGTACAATGAAAGGAGGCTGTGGTGCAGTCTCACTTAGAATCTCCTCTCTTTTCTCAAAGGTTTTAGGGAGTTTCTCTTTGTCTTCTAGTGAGTTTGAGTTGGATAAGGAGCCATTACTGTTGTGGGCATGAAAAGCCTATTGAATAACAGCGTGAGTGATACCGGGCAATGCCAATAAATTATACTTCACAAAGTGGATAAACCAACAACAAGCCAACACAACTCCACTGTTTCTTTGTGTTTGGACAGATCTTTGAAACTATAACACCTTATCAATCTTTACTCTACCCCGCACATTTAGATAAGAGATCCGTTTGACTATTTCGGGACAATATAGAGCTTTGCACAGGCTGGTATGATGAATAGTATTAAGGCTTATGGATGAAAGGGATCGTTGAGGAATAGAAGGCTGTACTAAGCCAGCCTGCATCACAACAGTGAGCAATCTGAAACAAAAAGATAAAATCACAATCAAGAGGGAGATTTCTTTTCAAACTATTTCAAGGCTTGTTTCAAGGCTCCAAACTGCTAATTGGACTCCTCTCATACACACTGAAGGTCATGTGACGACTAAAGTAGAGTATGTAGGAAGTCTAAACCAAATGCATCATCTCTGATCTGATCTGTGAAAACACACGGCTCACTAGCCATCAATACTGCACTTTGAATGCACAACATTTCCACTGACCAACCAGATTTGTTTTCTATATTTTTGATAGATTATATCACAACTGTAATTCTAGTAAAAGAGTATGAATGCATTACTTAAATTATTACATGTAGTGTTTCTTTCCTCGTATCTTGACAACAGGGGTAACATTACATGACCTGCAGGCATGATTATGCCAGTGCTAAAATTCTGCAGTGTTACATGTCTACTGGAGGGCCAGTATGTGTGTCACTGTGAGCCAGGCAATGACATCCACTACATTTATTTAGCCGACTGTTTCATCCAAAGCTACTCACAATAAGTGCATTCAACAATGTGAATACAACTCAAATATATTTAAGAACCTTGTGAGTACATCAACTTCATTAAATATGCTGAAATGACTCAAGTGCAACATGCAGGACAAACTTTACTCTATTCACCTGAGTAAATGCGATTCAAACGTCTTAAGCAGAAGCCTCCACTACAACCCCTGACATGACACACATATAGCTTTTCAAGCAACAGCTGGCAGTGAGAGCACCAAGCCTTTTAGTTAAATGTCTCAAAGCCTGTTAAGCTGCTAGTGGTCTGCCTGCATCCCCCGGGGGTGTGTATGTGTGTGTGAGAGTGTGTGTGTGTGTGTGTGTGTGTGTGTGTGTGTGTGTGTGTGTGTGTG